TAACAAATTTTTATACTCCATTTTTTTTTACTTCCAACTATACTTTCCTTAATTGGAGGAGTTCTAGCCAACAGTCAACAGTCCAAGTTATAAGTCACGCCACCAAAGTTAACTAAAAGGAGGAGGCCCTTTTATATGCAACTAAATTGCCCTCCCCACTGCCCGGTGTCGATGTGGGATTCAAATAAAATGCCCCTCAATGACTCAAAGCTTTTGTTTCCTAATTTTTGTGAACTGATTTTTTTTTTTTTTTTTTGAAATGTTTTCTTTACTGTTTTTTCTTTACTCATTCATTATTTTATATATATATATAAAATAATTATTAATTTATTACTATATTAATTTTATTTAAACGGGTAAACGGATGATAAATGGGTTGACATGTCTCACCCGAACACAACCCGTTTATTAAACGTGTCTAGCGGATCAACCCATTTACCCCCCAAACCCGTTTAATTCGTGTCGGTTAATTGTGTTGTGTCGGATTTTGACAGACCTAATAAAACCTAATGAGTTCATCCCAACAACATACACATTCTTGAATGAGGTAAACTTTTTATGCATTCTCTATGTAGTAATTTGATTTAACTTCCATCTAATTCTAAAAAACTTTGACGTCAAAGTTTGACTAAAGGGAAAAGAAAAAGAGTGAGAGTTAAAAAATTTATAGTCGGGTATAAATTATAAGGGTAGTAATAGTAAGATGTGTGAAGAGGGAGCAATTGTGTGTTATGAAGATTGTTAGTTGCAATGAGGGTTAGGGTCGTGGATGAAGAGATGCACTATTAAGGAGTTTTTGGGGAGCATTGGGCCAAATGTGGTAATATTTCAAGAAACAAAATTGGAAGTTATTGATAGGAATGTGATTGGCAGTATACAGGGGGCTAGGTTTAGGAATTGGGTGTTTCTACCATCAATTGGGAGTTCAAGAGGAGTGGTTATTATTTGGGTTGAGAGGTCTATTGAGATGGAACAGTCTCTTGGGTGGTGGTTTGGGGGGGGGGATTTTAGTGCATCGATTAGAATTAAGCATGAGAGAGTTTGATTGATGGCTCACTAGAATTTATAGACCTAATAAACCTAGGTATAGACAGTCTTTATGGGAGGAGTTAGCTGAATTGTATGGGGTTTGTAGTCCAAGATGGTGCATTGAAGGCGATTTTAATGTAATTAGATATCTGAGGGAGAAGTTGAATGGAGAAAGAATAATAAAAAATGAGGGACTTTGATGCTTTAATCAGGGAAACGGAACTTAGGGAATCCTTCATTGGCTAATGGTGTGTTCACATGGTCAAATGGTAGGAGTACAGTGGTATGTAAAAGGTTGGATAGGTTTTTGTTCTCTGTTGGATGGGAAGATTGTTAACCAAAGAGGCTTTGCCTAGAGTGGTTTCGGATCATTGTCCCATTGTTCTGGTGGATTCTAAGTTTACATGGCAGCCATGTCCATTTAGGTTTGAAAACATGTGGGTGGTATATAGGGATTTTAGAGAGAGGATAAGAGAATGGTGGGGTGAAGATGGGATTAAAGAGTGGCAAGGATTAAAATTTATGAAGAAGCTTGAGGTGATAAAATAAAGATAAAAGTGTGGAATAAAGAGGGGTTTAAGGATATTCGGGAAGCAAATAGAATTATATTGGATAGGGTTTGATGAGGTGGATAAAATTGAAGAAAAAGTGAGTATGGATGAAGGGTTGAAAAAAGAGAAAAGAGAACTTAAGAATAAATTTGAAAAGTTGTTTAACGAGGAAATTAGTTTTAGGAAAAAATCAAAAGTCAAATAAGTGAAAGGTGACAATAACACAAACAAATTCAAAAAATGGCGAATGGAAATAGAGTGAGAAAGTTTATTGATGAGTTGCAGCTTTGATGATGGGTCGATAATTGAGGATGAGGGTGTTATTAAGAGTGAGATTATTAGGTTTTTAGCTGAATTATATTCAAATCATGGGGGATCTAGACCAATTTTGAGGGATCTAGAGCGGTGTATCATTGATGAAGGGATTACTGGGTTGGGTGGTTGGAAAGGCCTATTGAAGTGAAGGAAATAAGGAGAACTATCTTTAAGTGTAGTACGGAGAAGGCATTAAGTCCTAATGGATTCACCATGACTATTTACCAAGTTTGTTGGAATGATATAAGGAATAATTTGATGAGGGTGTTTGAAGACTTTTATAATAAGGGGATTGTCATTAGAATTACAAATGTTACATTTATATGTCTTATTCCAAAAAAAGCTAATTCTCTGAAGTTGAAGGACTTTCGCCCTACTAGTTTGGTTATAATCTATATAAGATCATTGCTAAAGTCATTTCTTTTAGGATTAGAGAATGCTTGAGTGAAGCAATTTCAAAGAGTCAAGGGGCCTTTGTGAGGGGTAGACAAATTATGGATATAGCACTTGTATCTGATGAAGTGGTGGAAGAATACATAGTTTAAAGGAAAGAAGGAATTGTGTTCAATTTTGATTTTGAGAAACCTTATGATGTAGATGGGAGTTTTTTAGTGATGGAAGAAAAAGGCTTTCGAGGGAGGTGGAGGAAGTGGATTAGGGGTAGTTTAGAGTCAGTAAACTTTTCGATGATTATGAATGGAAAACCAAGGGAAAACTTTAAGGAAGGAGATCCTCTATAACCGTTCTTGTTTACTTTGGTGATGGATGGAATCAGTAGGTTGTTGGAAAGGGCAAAGAGAAGGAGTTTTGTTGAAGGATTTGTGATTGGATGGGAAAGAGTGGTGGTGTCTTAGTTGCAAATTGCTAATGATACTATATTTTTTTCCTTCAAAGGATGAGCAGAACTTAAAGTTGATAATTGTTATGTTTGGTGCAATCTCTAGGCTTCAGGTTAATATGGAAAAGAGTTTAATTGTATGTATTAATTCCAATGAGGAGAAGGTGAACAGGGTGGCTATGGAAATGGGATGTTCAATAGGTGGGTCTGCATTGAAATATTTAGAGCTTCACCTGGGTAGTAATCTAATGTCAAAAACCTTTTGGGACCCCGTTGTTGAGAAAATTGGGAGGAGACTTGATGGGTGAAAGAAATCTTTTATTCCTAAGGGGGAAGATTAACATTGATTCAGTCGATGTTGTCTAGCATCCCTATTTATTTCATGTTGGGTGGCTAGGAAGAATGAAGATTTAATGAGGGATTTTTTATGGGAAGGAAAAGAAGAGGGTAAAAAAGACCATTTGTTTGAATGGGAGGTGGTCACTAGGCCTAAAAAGAAGGGAGGGCTTGCTATTGGGAATTTGGTATAGGTCTGGTTGGAAATGGCTATGAAGATTCCCTTTGGAACAAAATTCATTTGTGGCATCCAGTCATTATAAGCAAATACGGGTTACAAGCTTACAGGTGGGATGCAAATGAGGTTGAAAGAGGCTATTTCCGAAGTAAGTGGAAATTCATTTCTCATCGGTTAGATTGTTTTTCTCAAAGAGTCAAGTTTATTGTGAGAGATTGTTTTTCTCAAAGAGTCAAGTTTATTGTGGGAGATAAAACTCGAGTGCATTTCTAGGAGGATATATGGGTTTGGGAGTCTTCTTTCTCGAGTATCTTTCCATTTATATGTTTCGTCTCTAATTATCATGCTTCTTTGATTAAATCGATGGTAAGATCATATTCAAGTCCAATTTCTTGAAAGTTTAGATTTCGTAGGAGTCTCAATGATAGGGAATGTTCAGAGTTATTGATTCATCTTTCTATGCTTGATAACATTACTATGTCTCAAGATTTCATGGATAAAAGGTATTGGAATGGTCATCCATCCGGGTTATTTTCTTGTAAGTCTTTTTTTGAGTTTCTTATCGATGATACTTTGCTTTCTTTTTTCTATCCATCATTTGATGATTTGGAAGGGGACGATGCCTTTAAAGGTGTAAGTTTGTGCATGGATTATTTTTTATGGTAAAGATTAGTATTAATGAGGTCCTTCAAAATGAGAGACCAAATTATTGTCTCCAACCGCAATAGTGTGTTATATGTAGAGGTGATAATGAAAGCGTGGATCCCTTATTTTTGCACTGTCCTTTGGCACGAACATTATTAAAATAAATTTTTTGAACTTGTGGGGTTTATGTGGGTTGTTTCAAGCAAGGATCAGATTTTCACTTTAATGCATAGTTTCGGTGAGCTTGAAAACGAAAATGTTTCGGTAATGTCTTGGAAACAACATGGAAACAAAGAAAAATTAAAAAATTTATTTCAAAACACACTAAAATATAGGTCAAAACACACCAAAACATAAGTCGAAACACGTCAAAACTTATCAAAACACCTCGAAACATCCCAAAACATAAGAATTTTGACATTCAATTAATGACTCGTTATGGTTTCCATGAAAACTGAAACATTTTGGATGTTTCAACCATTTCGAAAAGAAATTTAGTTCATTGGCTCCAAGGAAGATGGATTTTATGATTTGTTGGGATGACGTGGGGTATGGGGGAAGCACAAAATGGAAAGATCATTTGGCATAGTGCATTCTTTGCTACAATATGGATAATTTGGTAGGAACAAAATATGGGGATTTTTGAAGAGAAATATGAAAAGTTTGAAAGTCTTTATTTTTTGGCCTATTTTTTGGGCTTCATTGTCGAAGAAGTTTCAAGAGATCCCTCTTTTTTGTATTACAACAAGTTGGAAAGTATCATGTGGATTATAGTGTTTGATTGCTCATTTTTTGTTTTCTTTGATAAGTCTTGTGTTGGACATCTTCTTGTTCACACTTGATATGGCTTTTTGTATTGTTTTCTTAATTTATCAATAAAATGTTGTTTCTTATCGAAAAAATTTATCCTTTTTTAGAATGTGCAACTGCAAAAGTAAAAGTGGAGCAAGAATGTGTAATGCAGTGCGTGGGGAAACAAAACAAGAAGAGCAAATAGAGATTTCATTAAGGGTTAATCACAATGTCCTGTAATACATATTTAGTTGATTAATCTATTAAAAAATAAAAGCTATTGAACATCTCAATTTGCAAAGGTTGCATCAGACACTTACTCATTACAGTCAAGGTCAAACATTTTAAATGCCACTGAAAAGCTTGATTCTGGGATGCTGAGTAGGGTAACAAAAAATATATACCTGTTACAAGAAAAACAATAAAACTTCTCAATCTTCTAAGCAAGATAAAATTGTAAGGCACAAGTAGAACAAGTGGTAGAGAAAATTCTGATGTGATTAAGTCCTAAAGGAGGAAGATAGACAGACGAGGAGAAATCAAACAAACTAACAAAACAAAAGAATAAAACAAATCCACCTATATATCACAATCCATAACTCACTCTTTAAATGATATGAGACCATCATCATTCGTATCAAAAAGCATAAAAAATTCTGAAGGAGCACAACGCAACTCGCCAGGACTCCTTTCCCCTCTAAGATATCCATCCCTTACAAAGTTTGAATCAGATGGAGGGAAAACAGGAACAACTGCACGCATCAAATCTCCTGGCGTCATAAAAACTTCTCCGCCAGTAGTTCGGAAAGATGCAAAGTACTCAAAAACCTTCAAAGAAAACATGGTATCAGAAAAGGGTTGGCTTCTCAACCAAATATAGAAACATTGTGTCAGACAAGGGTTGACTTCCCAACCAAATGTACACAAGCCACAAAGGGATCCGCATCGAGATATACGACATCCACATGCAAGGTACTGAGGACATAGAAAGTACATGAACCAACGCATTAGACAATTTTAGTAAAGTGGACATTTAATGTTACCTAGAAGATTTTCAATTTTAACTAGTTTTCTTACCTTGAAATGATTTGATAATCTCCTACTATATTTCATGTGCCAATAACCTTCCTAGATGTTCCCTTGGCAAATAATTAGAGAGCGATATTCAAAGCATATTAATATAAGATACATTACTAATGATTATCAGCTTCAAACTAATCCATTTTTCACAACCAAAAAAAAATCATACTTGAAAATAAAAGATAACTATGATTTCGACATAAGAATGTTTGGTGCATCGTAGATTTCGCTTTAATAACAAATTTACGCACAACATGCAATATCATATCCAATTTGATAATGTTTCCAAGGGAAATTCTGCACAAAATGCAATGAAGTATTTCTTCCTTTTGATAGCAGTTGAATAGACATCAACAGACCAGCAATGCTTCATGATATAAAATATTGTGCAATTAAAAACATCACGCTCAAAAACTAAGTGTGACAAAACTGATGATGTTAAAATGGATGTGTGGAATTAAGAACGAGAATATTCTTGAACAATAGAGGTAATACCAATAAGATAATTAAACAAATAAGCTGTCTATGACAAACTGGATATGTTTATAGAACACTTCTTGTTGTATTGTTGAGGAAGAATGAGCTGATACCAACATAAAGGATGAATGTAAACCAAACTTAACGTTGAATGAGGTAGTAAAAAAGCATCCGATAGTAAGTTGCTTAACAAAAAATGTAGACCTCGATAAAACACAAAATCCGAACATGATTCATGTAAACCGCAATAAATAGTTTGTTTAAGCCTATGTTGAGCTGAGCTAAGTAATTAATCTATAAAGTGATCGAAATAAAATATCATATATGCTTCACAATTCTATGAGTACCTTTTCAGGCGGACTACGCATCCTTAATCGTTTCTCATAATTGAAGAAGATTTTTCTCCTATATGCATCTACAATGACAGAAAGGACCATTAATACAATGCTGCTAATACAATTCAAATAATTAATTTTGCATCTATGTTCTGCCAAAATAATTTGCTAATTAATTCAACTGATACAAACAGACAAGAATATTGACAATAATGCCAACTCAAAATGGGGAAATATTAGCCAAATACAGATGTATAGAAAATGTTGCTACTAGTGGGAACTTTAAAAAATTCACTTTACTATTTAAAGACATACAGCTTCTATGTAATTGATTCAATTAAGATGTCTTTAGACGATATTAGAAAGTTCAAATCAACTGGAAGTGCAAGGGCCTAGTCTATAAAAGTTTTAATACTAAAGAAGCTGATCTTCTTTAACAAGCAACAAAATACATGAAGTCCACCAAGAAAGAATAAGAGCCAAAACAAAGCAAATGCAAAGGCGGCAATCTTTTCGATGCAATTTTGGCAGATGTGGATGATCATCAGCAATCTTTTAGGGGGCGTCGCTATTAATTGCCCTGAGTTGGATTTGGATAAGAATTTTGTAAGGGCTCAACTTTCTAACATTTCTCTCACTGGTTGTAATTTTCCTCCAATATGGGTTTAATTCTCACTTCATGGGTTTGCCCCTATATCATAAAATCTTTTATTGTCACAGTTTTGTTGCCATAATAATCCATATTTTACACCTCGCAATTGTTTAGGTATCAATAAAGTCTTCAGTTTTATGTGAAAAATAAGATCCCATCTCAACTGAATTTGGCTTTCCCAAATAGTATTATACTCCTTCATCACTTACCCAAATCAACCTAAGTAATCTATATAACCTACGGAGCTCATAAATAGAGTACAATGCTTGAACCCCTTCAACCCTAGAGGCCTCACCTCCACAAAGAATTTTTTCACCATGTAGGACCAAGTTTAGAAGAGCATGTTGAAAAAAATAAGAAGAGAGAGAAAAAAAGACAAAGCAAGAAAACTAGTTTAAGAGAGCCCACATGGAACCTTGTCCAACAAAACTTTGATTTTCTTTCAGTCCTATCTTATGTTGGTTTTAGGCTAGTGATTTCCTAGTTCATATTTAGTATATTTTCCATATGTTATATAAGTCAAACAGTAATTTAGCTTCCCCAACTGAACATGAGCTAGGGTGGTCATTCACAGGTCATATTGTTAACCATTGAGTAATCAAGTCTTTATATGAGTTCTTCAGTAGTTCTAGACCGATATTAAGTGCCAAAAGATTCCTATTTGAATCCTAATATTCTAGCAGTAACAGAACTATAACAATCTATAAAAGCAATGTAAACTTTGAATTAGATGAAATTGATTAAGGTAAATAAAAAAAAGTGATATGTGATGCAACCCAACCCTACATTTATCAGTGCGATCTTCAAAAGAGTCATATCTTATTCTCTTTTCTTTGGATGTCTTTTTCTATTCGTTTAAATAATGATTCTTTTTCTCTTCTTTGCTCTTCATTGCTTCCCAGCTAGTAATTATTTATGGTATCCTCAAAACCTAATCCTAACACACTCTAAACAATCCTTATACCCTTACTTTAGCCTACAAATTTAAACATAGTTTATCTCCCAATCCAAAAAATTAAGTAACAATGATTCCCTCCAACAAAATCACTGTCTTCCCCATCCTAATTATTATGCCAACCCAAAAGTGCAATCAACATCTGGAAAAAAAAATTCGGAAGTTATCAACATCAGAATCTTACCAGCATAACGTATCCTAGAAAAATAAAGAAGACTGAAAAGATAATGCAACTCCAATAGTTGATAACTAATAATTAACACAGTAAACCATGCAACATACTCAGTAATCGAACCACATTATCAATAACCAACACAACAATTAGAATAAAGTATTATCACAATTATAATGACAATTATAAATAAGATAAAAGGTAACCTCCAAAGAGAAATTTAGGGTTAGTAGATTGATCTTCTATTGCGGCTTGCGTAGTAGTAACAGCCGCTGCCGATTCAGCGAAAGACAAGAAAGAATTCTCCGGAGAATACCAGTACAGTGCCAGACCAATGGTCGAGCCACTGACGATCCCAGAGATCCATCGTTGGAAAGGTGTCAAACTATTTCGATTCTGCTGGAAACTGGTGTCGCACTTCGAACCAATGAATGGAAGAGGTGTTAGTGTTATCGTTGGTGGAGGAGTAGGAGGAGGCAGTGATGGGGTATCGAATGAGCGAATTTGAAGCCGTTGGATTATGGGTAGACGGCAGATCGACGGTCGGGATCTTCGAATAGGTGACCAAGAAGACATGGCAGAGAGAGAGATTTCTAACCGATAAACGGAAAGGAGATGCGAAGCTGCGAACAGTCAGTCGAGGAGGCAAAAATAGTCGACGCAACGATTACACCATATCAATTAATAAAAATTTTGGATTAATTGTATCAGAGGTTTCGAGATTTATCTTATTTTAATTTTTAATATTTAAATTGTATTATAGTAATTCTTAAAATATTAAATATATTTTTATATGGCCCCTCAAACCGACAGCGTCTAAATTAATAATAATTTTTAATCATAAACTTGTCACATGATGCTTAAATATGGACAAAAAAATAATTTTGATAATTATTGACAAAATTTCTACACAAATTTTAGTTAAATATCTACTTAAATTACACAATTTTGATCAAAAATTACACATATTACACATTTTTTGTCAAGAGCTACCCAATTTATTTTAAATCTATTAAAATTATTTTTTATCCATATTTAGGTATTACGTGACAAATTTATGATAAAAAACTGTAACTAATTTAGACTTTGTCTACTTGAAGGACCATATAAAACATATTTAATATTTTAAAGGTCAAAATGATATAATTGAAATATTGAGGATCAAAATGAAATAAATTTCATACTTTAAAGACCTACAACGTAATTAACCCAAAACTTTTATGCTCCACTTTCATAATAGGGATAAAAAAAAATTAAAAGAATGGAAAAGTGCGAGCAATAAATTTTTCATCTTTATAAAAAATATATTAAAAGAATTAATTTTTTATTATTTAATATTAAAAAAAAAAACATATGTATACTTAATTTACTATTATATCTTTACATATGATGGGTCAAGCTCAAGGGTCTAGCTCAAATTATAAGTTCAGTCCGAGTTTATAGCTCATTTCTAAAAGATTCAACAAGTCCAGCTCAATGCGGTCAATCCAGACAAACTCATCAAAAATCAAGGAGCAACATCAGTTGGGAGTATGCAAGGTCATCAAAGAGTCTCCTCTACCATTTTGGAGTAAGGAGACTAGCTCAAATTATAAGTTCAGTTCGAGTTTATAGCTCATTTCTAAAAGATTCAACAAGTCCAGCTCAATGCGGTCAATCCAGACAAACTCATCAAAAATCAAGGAGCAACATCAGTTGGGAGTATGCAAGGTCATCAAAGAGTCTCCTCTACCATTTTGGAGTAAGGGTCATTCAAGAGCCTCCTTTACCACCTTTGAGTAAGTGTCATCCAAGAGTCTCCTCTACATCACCTAGGGAGCATCCAAGAGCTTCTCCCTCGCGGCCTGGAGAGAGTCAATCTTCCCACATCCTTTGATCAAGTCCCTTGGAGAGCACCATGACTTCCTCGCCGGTTGAGGAGAGGTCGTCAACCTATTTGATTGTCGTTAAAGTCACTCCAATCCGTTATGACTGTTAAACGGCTCTAACCCGTTATGACCGTCAGACTAACTATTCAATTACTACACTAAGCCACTATAAATTATAAGGCCCACCAACACTTAGGGGGCATCTCACTCATTTGAGCATAACTCTCTCCTCCTCTCTCAAAGCTTATAACATTTTGGTCTCCTTCTACACCGGAGATAATAAAATATGGGCGACCCTTGCCATTCAAAGTGGACGTAGGGTCACGTTGACCGAACCACTATAAACTTTGTATTCTCTCTCCCTCTACTTATTTTACTGCATACTTGACAGGTGGTGTACAAACCAATTTGTGCATCATTAGTTTGGCACCGTCTGTGAGAACGACAAAGTTCTCACCTAAACATTTTTTTTGCTGAATCAAAGGCGATCACCACTAGATCCATGAATCAGCCTGAAGACATTCCACCACGAAAAGGAGAAGATTGTTCCTCCACCCAATCCAGTCCCAAATGCGCAGCAGATGCTGGAGACCATGCAACAGCTTATAGTCCAGAACTAGTAGATTCTGCAAGGAGCACAACCTAGACCTCAAGTTAAAGGAGCTCCCCACCTCCTCCTCCAGCCCCTACTCCCCATGGTGGAGACCCTCATGTCCAAGAGGGATGAGGGTGAAAACCGTTTCCATGATAATTCCGGAAGACCTCCTTCCAATCACTGGGACGAAAAAATTAACGAGGTACAAAATCAACTGGTTGATGTCTTTAACGCCATAAAGGCACAGGGACCTGAGATAGTGGACTACCTCGTAAGTCGAACCGACACACCTTTCAAACCTGACGTAGCGAACTACCCACTTCCTCATAAATTCAAAATGACATCCGTCGAAACCTTTTACGGTACGAAGGATCCACTGGACCACCTCGAAACTTTTAAGACCTTGATGCAGCTACATAATGTCCCCGACAAAATCTTGTGCAGAGCGTTCCCAACCACCTTAAAGGGATCCGCTCGACAATGGTTCACCAAGCTCTCCCCAACCTCCATTGGCACATTTGCTGAGCTGAGCATGTATTTCGTGTCACATTTCATTGGACGCCGCCGCCACCAGAAGCCTGCCACCCATCTGCTCAGCATAAAACAAGATTGAGATGAGAGCCTAAGGAGTTACCTCACTTGTTTTAACAAGGAGGTCCTTCAGGTCGAGGAGCCTAATGATAAGGTCAGCATGACCGCCTTCTTGAGAGGCCTCTGGTCATCAAACTTCCTCTTTTCGGTAATGAAGCGACCACCAAAAAGCATGCCAGAATTATTGGCAAAAGCTCAAAAATATATGAATGCTGAAGAAATCAACAAGTCCAGGCGAGGTGAATCATCTCACAGATCGCCAAAAGTTTGACCTATCTCTGTTCTGCTATCAAGTAGATATCCAATGTCTCCAGCTTAGCGACTCTCTCGCGGGTCGCCAAAAGCATGACATCTGCACTGTTTTTAAATAGGCAGCCTATATATCCAACTTAGCGGCTCTCTCACGGGTCGCCAAAAAGCTTGGTCTCTGTACTGCTTTTAAGCAGACAACCTATATCTAGTTGAGCGGCTCTCTCACGGGTCGCCAAAAGCTTAGTCTCTGCACTATTCTCAAACAGGGAGTTTATATCTCCAGCTTAGCGACTCTCTTACAGGTCGCCAAAAGCTTGGCCTCTACTCTGCTCTCAAGCAAGCAGTTTATACCTCAAGCTTAAGGACTCTTTAATGGTCGCCAAAAGCTCGGTCTCAAAAGGTGTAGCTCTCTCACGACCAATCCTCAAACTTTGTCTTTACTCTCGTACAAGTAGCCTACCTCTCTCTCCAGGTCGTCTGCAACCTGAGGGACTACATTAAATTGAATGTCAACAATCGAGCCTCATTCTTTTGTGTCCATCTAGCACCGCATCCTCGTTGCCGTAGCATTCTGCGCTTAACACCTAACGCAAAACAAGCTTTACTTGCGCTTGCCTCCAAATAGCGCACCTCCATCATGATCAACAAAATCGCCAGCCAATGGCGCCCAATACCATGGGCTCCTCTCTAGCGGCGCCCATCACCATAGGGTTTCTCCAATAGTGCCTAACGCCATGGACGCCTCTCTATTAGCACCCAACGCATGGGGCATCCCACCTAGCACCATAGTGCCTCACAGTCAGCGCCCAACGCCAATGTCGCCCCCACTCTAGCGCCCCTCATCTCAGTCCTTGCGACATGGGTCGTCATTTTGGTCTCGACATCCTCAACACCCAGCTCTTGCGCGAGGGCCCTCCATGAACTCCCATTTGACAAGACTGCCAAGGCACCCAACCTGCTCGCTCAAGACTACTAAGGTGCACAACATGCTCCCCCAACATGGATCGTCACCGCAGCAGCCTCGCTTACCTGGCCTACTCGCCTCTCCACAGCGAGCATACCCCAACACGCCCAGCTTGCACGCTAACGGCGCCCGAGACAAGCCATACACTCGCGTGCCTCCCTCTCTTGCCTAGTTTACTCACCCAATTGAGGTCACCATAGCCTGGGCACCTAATCTCTCTCTCGCCTGGCTTGCTCGCCAAAATTGGTGTCGCCATAGCCTGGGCGCCCAATGCCTCCTCCTCGCGCGCCCCAGCTCGCCTAGCAACGGGAGCCTCTTCTCTCCCCATTCTTTTGCCTACAAGCTGCTTCAGAATGGGTGCCTCCACACCTGCGCCCAGTGTCTCCCCCTTCTCCGGGCTCTCCACCAAGATCCACAAGCTCTTCTCCATTCGACATTGTTCAAAGCTTTCAACTCAAGAGGCTCACCTATGTGTTTTTGGAGGATTTCAAGAAGAGCTCTCCTTCTCACTCAAGATTGTATGGAATGGGGCTCTTTAAAAAAAATGAAAGAGGAAGTTTTCATAGCTAATGGAGTCCCACAAGTAAAAGGAGTCTATTGGAATGGAAGGAGTCAACAATCAAAATGAGTCTTTAAAAAATTCGGATTTAAAAAGGGATACACGCTATTTTGACCGTAGCTTTTGATCTGAAACTCTAAACAAGCTTATTATATATTAAATCAAAGTTTTCGGTGAGTCCTACAAAACTCATAGCCTATGACAGTGATTGAAACTGTAAAAAGTCCAAAAAAAAGGCTCAAAAATAGTTGTTTTGGCCTCCAGAAGTTTTTTTTTAAAACAAAATCAACTTGCCCAAGAGGTTGTCTGCTCGCCCAGCACAGTATGTGCTCGCCCAGAGACTGTCTGCTCACCCAAAATCATGCACCCTACCCTTGCACGCTATTGTGATTGTAACTCTTGGTTTAAAACTTAAAATAGGACTTATTATATACCAAATCAAATCTCTCGACGAGCTGAGCAAAACTCATTAACCTTTTCAAAAAAAGTCCAAAAAAGGCCCAGAAAAGGTGCTTTAGCCTCTCGAAGTTTTAAAAAAAAAAAAAAAATTTGCTCGCCTAGAAATAATGCTCTGCTCGCCCGGAACAATGCTGCTTGCTAGAAAGCTGTCTGCTCGTTTAGCTATCTGTTCGAAGTTTTGACCGTAATTTTTGCTCCGTTACTCCAAATAAGACTTATAATATATCAAATCGACGCTTTCAGTGAGCCCTATAAGACTCATAGCCTATGGTTGTGATTGATACTATCAAAAGTTCAAAAAAGGTCTATAAACAGATGTTTTGACCTCTCAAAGTTTTTTCAATTGTGCAGGTCGGCCGAAAATTCAAACTCAAACTGAATGCCCTCCTTCCAAGTTCCGTTAGACGCAGGGCATTGGGGGTAAATGATGGGTCAAGCCCAAGGGTCTAACTCAAGTTATAAGTCCAGTCTGAGTTTATAGCCTATCTCCAAGAGATCCAACAAGTCCAGCTCAATACGGTCAACCCGGACAAGCTCATCAAGAATCAAGGAGCAACATCAGTAGGGAGTATGCAAGGTCATCAAAGAGTCTCATTTACCACCTTGAAATAAGGGTCATCCAAGAGCCTCTTCTACCACCTTGGAGTAAATGTTATCCAAGAGTATCCTCTACGTCACCAAGGGAGCATCCAAGAGCCTCTCCCTCGCGGCCTGGAGAAAGTCAATCTTCTCACATCTTTTGACCAAATTCCTTGGAGAGCACCATGACTTCCTCGCCGGTTGAGGAGAGGAGAGGTCGCCAAGCTATTTAATTGCCATTAAAGTCATCCCAATCCGTTATGACTATTAAACGGCTCTGACCCGTTATGACTGTCGGACTAGCTATTTAATTACGACACTAAGCCACTATAAATTGTAAGCCCCACCAACACTTGGGGACATCTCACTCATTTGAGCATAACTCTCTCCTCCTCTCTCAAAACTTGTAACATTCTGCTCTCCTTTCACACCAGAGATAATCAAATACCGACGATCCTTGTCATTCAAAGTGAACATAAGTCACGTTGACCAAACCACTATAAACCTTGTCTTCTCTCTCCCACTTTATTTTACTACATATTTGACAAGTGGTGTGCAAACCAATTTATGCATCATCAATATATATAAATTTTTTATTATAAATATTATTTTAAAAGATTTAGTGTCGCTCTAATTAGTTATAAAAATAAATAAATAAATATAGATATTTGTACTAAAAATAATAGCCAAAAAATATACATAAGAAAAATAGATATAATAAAATATTTAGAAGTTTTTCTTGATAAATGTGTAGGTTTTGATTTGTAATGTTGACATAATGTTTATAAATATAATTAAGGGGAAAAGGGGTTAATTTTTTTTCAAAAAAATAGTTTGTCTTCAATTTTCCTCACTTTGCTCCCACTTTTGGGAGGAAAAAAATGGTAAGCTGGAGATAATGCTTTCCCTCCAATTTCACTTCCCTCCTATTTTTCTTTGTTACCAAACAATAAAAAATCTTTCTTTCCCTATTTTTCATCCACACTAGCACACCAGAACATTGTTATGTAACAAGAAGAGTTTGATTCACACCTTAGATGGACTTTGTTACAAAACATAGGCTTGGAGTATCAGATTTGACATCAAGCCCATTCAGTCGAAAGACTGGTTAAAAATGGGTGAACAACAAACGTTTATTGGGCCGGACTCTCAACAAATTTTAGGCTTGATGATGCAGCAAGAAATGCTTTAACATAGTTGGATGGCAATGACCATCATAAGAGAGTAGGGGTGTTCACCCTACCCTACGGGTAGAAAATATGTTGTTTCGTCTTCTTACCCGATACTTTGAGGAAGAGTTTTTTCTTGGCCTACCCTACCCGACAGGTGTGGTATTCCTACCCGACTTCCTACCCTATTAATCGGGTAGGAAGTCGGATAGAAAATCGGGTAAATATTTTTGTAAAAATTAATTTTTGGATCATTTTAACAATTTAATTAAATAACATGCACCAATTTAACAATACAATAAATCAATTAACACTAAAATCTAAAACAACTACAACAAGAATTATAATAAAACACAAGAAAATATGAACATCAATCCACCATAATTGTTACACAAATACAATAACAATTAATTTAAGTTTAAACTTTAAACCATATGAAATACATTAAAATCATAATTGCTCCGCCTGTGGTTAGGGTTTAGGGTTTTTTTAGTTTATATATATATTAAAAAATTATTACGGGTAAGGTAGGGTAGGAATGCGGAAATGAATGGTTATTCCGCATTTCTACTCAAAAATTGTCGAAAAACCAAAAACTCTTCTGCATTCCTACCCAATTTTTGCGGCTAACCGTTTAGTAAGGTAGGGTAGGGTAGGAACTTGCGGCTGGTCAGAAATTTGAACACCCCTACAAGGGAGGAAGAGGCCAATAGAAAAGCTATTAACCAACCAAGAAAACTATTAGCCCAATAGAAAATTTTGGAACCTATCTAGGGTTTGAATGGAGATATACTCTAATATTTTTTTTAGGAAAAAATGGAAGTCTGTATAAAAATTTAAACTTATTTGAAATTAAATATATTAAGGAAACTTATTTGATTTCAGGTACATTTTTGTGGAAAAAGATCAAAAGGTCATTCAACACAATCTTCTACTTTTAAAGTGGGTTTTGAATTTCAAAATCAACATCCATTATTCCACTATAACTAAAAATTGGGGATTTGCCTCCTATTGAAGAAGAACAAACTCCAAACCGTTCTAAAACCAATGAAATCATAGGTTTTGGAGGAGAAAACTGAGCAAAATGGCCAACGATTCAGATTGATTATAGGTCATATCACCAATAAACGCCGACAATTTTGGATTCTAATATTATAGGCATCATCATATTATTATTGTCTTCATCGTCATTCCTATTGTTTTCATCATCTACTGGGTTTCATCCCTGATGATTGACAATAAGAATTTTTTATTTTTTTAAAAAATTATGTTTGATAAAACTCAAAATAATAACTTAAAAGTCATAATTTATAACAGTATCACAAAATCGTCGTAAACAGTAAAACAATTTGTAACTTAAAAGTCCTAATTTGTAACGGTTGACGGTGAAACTGTTTGGTATAACTTAAAAGTCTAATTTGTAATAATGTGGTGATACTGAATAGTGTAATTCTTTGATTTATATAAACAATTGAATGATGCATTGGTTATGATGTTGTCATTTTGTGTCCCTGTTTGGTGTAATTGTTTAGTCTATCAAAACGCGTGTGTAACTCTATAGTGTATCATAGCGTAAATGTAATTTTTGGTGTAGCGTTAGTATCCGATTATGTCAAATTTTTATATATTTGAAAAGAAAAAAATTATCAATAAGTTATTATTTCTTTTGGAGTATCAATACCATGATGTTTATGAATGCCAATTTCGGATTATGAGAGAGAGAGAGAATAATTGTACCTTGAATATGCAACGGAGAGAGAAAATGAGGGGAGTGACGGTGAAAGGGAAAAAAATAGGGAAGGGAGATTGATAGAAAAAATATGGAGAAAGTGAGAAAATAGGGAGAGAAAAAGAATAATAGTGAGACAAAATAGGGAGAAAGGAGAGAGAGAGTGAATGAGTGAGAGAATAAGAATAAATGGTCAAAATTCAAATGATATTGGATACATGTTTGATAATTTTGGGGTTTTTATTTGATCTAATATACATTAAGTATGTTTATTTTTATAATTATTGTGATTTTTTATCTTATTTATAATTTTTTTATTATTTGATTGATTCAACGAGTAACTCAATGATTGAATTAATAACCCATTGACATGATCTTTTTAGCAAGTTGATGTCCGAACCAATTTTTAAAACTATTCTTAGTAATCCAATAGATTCTCTTCGGTTCCACAATCAATCTCACACCTATTTATTTGATGGAGGTCAAATTCCGCACTCTTCTAATTGCTTAGAAATGTTCATTTCCTTTGTTTTTTTTCAAAATCTTTGATCAAGACGTGCCAAGTGATGCCCACATGCATGGCCAACAAGCAACATGTTATGGATTCTTACAGGTAATACCCACCTTCCAATCGCGGAAAGATGGAGCACACAACCCATCAACAACATGTATATGACATAAACAAAGGATGAAACTCAAGAGTTCTTTTTTTTTGTTTTCTTTTGTGTTTGTATGGTGTATGTCTATTGTTCACATTATATCATAGGAGACGCAGTGTTTTGTATAATGTAGACTCCATCCTTTCAACAACCACTAACTTTAGAGCAATTCTACATGTACTTAAAAAATAGACTTGAAAATTAGACTTGATAATTATAGCCATTGATTTCACTGTAGGTCTCATCTGTCTAGCACAAATAATGTAATTAACCCATCTGTCTCTCTTTATATTCTACACATTGAAAGATAATATAATATAATTAATTATAAAACTTGTCAATTTTAAGAAGTTTTTTGAAGAATTAATATCTTTATTAACCAATTTGCAATCATATTAGCTTCGCTATCATCATTAAGTAGTTATGAGTGTTTGGCTTCTGTCCAACCTGAAATAACCACCTATTGTAAATCTTATTATTGTATATTGTATTTATACATAAAATTAATGTGTACATAATATAAAATAAATAAATAAGGCATATGCATATGCATATATTAAAAAAATATAAAGGGTATATTACATACATTTTAACACATAATTAATTTTTTCTTAATTTTATATGGATAAATTTTGATGAGTTAAAACAAAAACTAACCGATCAATTTTTTCATCTTTCTTATTTTTCTCTTTTTATTAAATATAATATTTTATTTATCTTTCTAATTTTTCATCATTATAATTAACAAAACAGAAGTAAATTATGTGAGATATATAATTGGCACTCCAAGAATTCGTGGAGACGTCTAAATACCACCACCCCAAGCACACAATTCAGAAATGCCTTTAAGCTCCAAGTCCAAAATAGTATTATACCCTCGTACTATTCCACGATGGACAACCCACCCAATGATATAATCTCATAAAAAAAAATGATCTCTTTTTCAAACTCTCTCTCTTTGTTTCGTCTGGAAAAGAAAAATCTCCCTCTCATTTAGGAATGTCTATTTAGGAATGTCAATAGACCAAATCGGAACAGAGTGTAGTTTCCATTCCCTTAAAAAAAATTCATCTATTCCAAGTTTATTTCTATTAACGGGTATAATTTTCATATCCATTTTTGTTTACGGGTAAATTTCTAATTTTTGTCCCGGTCCCTGCTTCCCTCGTACCCGCTCAAGCCCAAGCCTACCCCCGTACTACTAGCTTCTTCAAACAACCGAAATTCAGATAATTTTTTGCAGACAAGAATAAAAATTTGCTTGCCTATGAACAAACATGATAATATTTCATTTTAGTATCAAGTATCCAAATAAATTACTTGTCCAACCCTCCCAGATACTTTTTTTTCAGTACAACATGTAGCATGTCAATAAGAGATGTCCCCAAAGAAAAATCATAATTTAGTTGCAAAACTATTTTCTTGAGCTTACTATACAAATCGAAATCAATTTAATTTATTATCACATAATGAGGACAAATCTAAGTACACTAAGCAAATTTTTTTTTTAATTAACATGATTACAATGAAAGTTTGGGTCTTAGATTTTTTTATTTTGGTGTGTGGTGTTGAGTAGATTTTTCAATTTTTTTTTTACAAAATTGGACACTAATCTATATATATATATTACTTATAAATGTCAGCATGTGTGAAAAATTTTTAATTTTCTATTTCACCCTTAATTTTTACCATAAAATCAATTATACCCATATATTTTCCTGTCTTTCATACCTATTTAGATTTCCAAAATATTAGTTAGATAAATTTTATCTCTCTGACTTGGTAGATAAAATTTATCAAAATATTAGCTAGATAAACTTTATCAAAATATTAGTTATATAAATTTTATCTCTATGACTTGATAGATAAACTTTATCTCTATGATAGTACATTCTTTCTTTTTCATTCAATTGTACAAACTCTACTAAAATTCTAATACCACATATTAGTAATTTTTAGGTGATACATATACATATATTTTTTTTGTCTTTCCTACTTATTAGAGTTCTAAAATATATTGAATTTCTTCATATATATATATATATATATATATAAACTTTATTTATATAACAATACATTCATATTTATAATTTTTAGGTGATACATATACATATATTTTTATGTCTTTCCTACTCATTAGACTTCTAAAATATTTTGAATTCCTTCACATACATATATATAACTAAATAGGATTCTAATACCACATGAGATCAAACTTTCCAAAAAAGTTAGTTTATAAAATTTTCTGTTTTAGTTTATTAATTCCTATGTTTATGTTAATTCCTATGTTCTGTGGCATTTAATTTTTCTTAATGTAATGTCAAATAATTTTCTAAGAGATTAGTGTGACATGTCAAGTAATAATTGAAGTTAATTTATTAGTTCTTATATTTTAGTTTATTAAATTGGTATAGTAGGTCGAGTATTCGGCATAATTGAAGTTAGTTTATTAATCATTTTTATTTTTTACACCTATTTGAGTTTCAATTTATTTTAGACTTTTTTATAAGAACTTTTAAACTCATTTATTAGTAGTACAATTACATACAATTTTATATATGTATGTGAAGAAATAAAATCATAAATATATGTTAAATTATTATACAAATGTAGTTATTAGATTGAATTACATGGTCAAATATATATTATATTTTATTTTTTTGGTATGCAATAATATAATAGTATTATGAATGATCTAATCAATCTATTTTAACAAATAAAAATTAATAATAATTTTATAATATAATTAATGTGCAAATGCCTAAAAAAGTCGAAGAGATACTTAAATAAATGATAAATTAAGTACTCAAAGTTTATTGAATAAATTAATAATTAAATTTAATAATAATTAAAATATATTATTTAAATTCAAATTTTTTATTAAAAAATATTATTTAAATTTATTTACGTGTAACGCATTGTGCATTTCTAGTTTAACCAAATATGGAAAGATTCTTATCTTATGATGGGCCCAATGAAACCAACTAGCCCAAATCAATGTGTGCCCAACTGTCTCCATAATAGATATAGTGTTGTGTTTTCTTAAAGTTTATTTAAAAGGAGACGGAGACGGGGAAGAGATAAAGGTAAATTCATCCCTATTTTTATTCTCGCACGAATTTATGCGGGTATATTCGTATACGTCCACCGTCTAATAAATATAGTCTATCCTCGGTCTAAATAAAACGAATTTGAACGAATACCTATTTTGTTTCAATTCATTGCCATCCCTAGTTCGCATGATAAGAAAATGTGCATTTTCTTAGACCTTGCCAACCAAAGGTGCTGATCCAATACGTAAAAATTGGGATTTTGGCCTCCCAATATTAAATTTTCATTAATCTTAGTTAAATTCAATGGTTCACTATTACGATCGAGATCCTCTTCATTACAAATGGATGAGGAGCCCATTTGTAAATTATGAATTTCATGTATATTAATGATAAATAATCTATTATTAATTAAAATAAAGTGAAAATATAATAAAGAGAATTAAGATCCCAACTTTTAAAATATTTTTTCATTAAAGTTTAGAGAATTAAAATTTGAGGATTACCCAAATCGAGAAGATTGAACAGATTCTGAATCCTTTATTGTAAAGCATGTGTGTTGCTGCTCAAAACGATATGTCAGATGATCTGTTTCCGGTTGAACCACCAACAAGTCCTTTTCCATAACATCTGGGTATTTATGAATTGCCAGGCTGGCCTTATTCTTTCCAGATTTCAATTATTGGATTCTACAATTGCAACAAATTGAGTTATTCTCTCATTTCATCATTACTAATTTTCCAATAATTCTTATTTAGAATGAGTAAATATTTAAAAGTTAGAGTTAGTTATAAAATTTAGTGTAATCCAATAGTCTAATCAGTTTTTTTTTTAAATATTTTCTGGAGTAAATCTGTACCGGTTGTCACTTTCCTCAAAAAACGTAGCGTAACGTCTACGTCCATCATATATTACCGTCTTCTTCTACTTCTGTCCCCACTTCCACATTTCCAGCGTTAGGGTAAAAGCCTTTCTCATCACTATAAAATAGTCTGGAGCCCAAAGTCTTATACATTCAACTTATAAATTTTCAAGTCCAAAGCCACAAACCGCGTTTTGAACTATCTCGAGTCCGGAATTCAAATTGATCGATGACGCCATTCCTGCAAACACCAAAAGCAATAACAAAAATATTACAAATAATAAGTTAATAGTCTGAAATTAACAGAACAGAAAACCCAAAGAAAAGTACAAACAGAAAAGTACCTTGCACGAAAAGCAACGCGAATATGCCAATATACGCTAAACGCCTCAAACATAACGGCGAACGGGAAGCGTCAATACGTGACGGAGAACTTAACGGCACACACTACGGACATCTCGAAGCTGCGAAGAGATGAAACGCAACGAGTCACATACCATGCCACAAAACAAACCAAGCCCACGGAAATCTCAAAGATTTACACCGAATTTAAATCAATCATCACCTCAATTGAATTTTAATCCCGATTTTAGTTTCATTGGATTTGAATGTGTGCAAATGTCCAAAAAGTCCTTCATATTGCAAACAATTGCTGCAAATCATATGTACAAATAAGGTATTCCGTCGTCCTGTCTCAATTTGCTAGGGTTTCGACCAGCCGGAAACAAAAAAAACCTCAACCAAACTCGCCGGAATCTGCATCCAGTAGCCGGGATCTGATCGCTGCGCCCGGAGCATCATTTCTCTTCCACCAGAAACTCTAGAAGAGGAAAGGTTAAAAATGAAAAGGACCAACCTGCAAAAAATATATCAGAAATTTCACAGGTCATCAGCCTTGGACATGATAGAAAGCCGACTCGGCCGTGGCTGAAAAGCGGCTCGGCGTCTTTGTTGATGTGACGAAGGACGAATCAGAGCCGCCAAAGCTCTCTTCACCAAATCGCCTTCAACTGTCCCGATCCGAACCAGGGAATTCGTCATCGCAGATCTCCGAGCATTCAATCTATTCGGCGAGTACGAAATTGACTGAGTATTGTTACAGTTCTTGTGCAAACTACACCGAAACGAACCTGGATGCGACGTAGGTGAGCACATACACATCTTCTTTGGTAGATTCTTCATCGGATGGCTATTCTGCTTTCTGACCACCTGATCTCGAGGCAAAACCGCCATCGAACGGCAAGGAGAGACCGATCTGTCCATCGATAACCGCACGGACGGTGACGTTGCAAGAGGAGCGAATCCATGGAGGTTCACACGAGTAGGAGAAGAAGAACGGTGGAAGAAACCAGACGATGGAGATGAACAAAAGCTAGAGCTTGTCGATGACGCAAACGACGACGTTTCTGACGATGATGATTTGTAAAAGCGGCCGGACGGCGAGATTGAACGTTGAAACGTCGACGCGATTGGTAGCACTGGTCCGCTCGATCTTCTAGACGAAGTCGCCATTGCTGTATTTGAAGAGAGAAAACTAAGGAGAGAGAAAAGGCGGAGAAGAAAGATAGGAGAAGAAATTAGTTTTTTACTAATATTTTTCTCCAAAAGGGCCCTGAGGCTCTTCAGTTCGGCAAACCGAGCATACCTCAAAGGCTAGATTTATAGGAAGGCAGTGTATGGCCGAGTTGTAATTAAAGGGAACTTTGGGGGCTGAAATGTGGAAATGCTACGCGTGGTTAACTCAACTGTGGTTAGTGTGTGGGGCCGGATTTAACTAAGGGGGGGTTGGAGATTCCGATTATGATCCAACGGTTGGAAAGCAATGGACGGCTGAAACAGCAGAACAGTCCGTAGTTTGGATAACCGCTTCTGGGAGAGACCTGGAGGCGCTGCCACGTAAAACAATTCAAATGTGGACCTGGATTTGGTTCGATGATTACGATGTGCCATTGATCAACTATATTTTTTAGGACTAAAGTGTCCTCGGTCTTTTACATTAAGACCTTTCCTACAAAATAAAAAACCCCCCTCCAATTAGATCAATTACGAGCAAGTCCTGTATATCAAATAAATTAAAGAGTAATATTATTTAGATAAGAAAATTTGATTTAATTTGCTAACATAATGATGTGGCTTTAGTAGAATTATTGGATCAATATCATGTTTAAATATTTGATGGATCCTACTGTCAATTAAAAAATTATAGTGAATTAGATCAGTAAATTAGGTCAATAAATTAGATCTCAATTGCATTACTCTATATTAAAACTCACTCACAAGATTTGAAATTAAAATCTTGAAATAATATGTTTCAATTTTTTTTGTATTAAATTTATAGATGCAAAAAAGTGAGAAGTGTGAGCTAAAGGAGTTGATTAGCTTTGTGTGAGATGGATTGGAGGTGTGTATGGTTAAATAATAGAAAATCCACAAAGAATTAAATGGTTCATCGGAGGTCCATTAATGGATCGGATTTTGTATTGAATTTTAATTGATCCAAATTTGAATTTAAAGTTCGAACTTGATGATTTTTATTATTTTTGTGGTTCATATCTAAATTTGTTAATAATTTGATATGAATAACTTAATTAACTTAATTTTAATAAATTATATATAAATTTTAACTAAATTTATTTAAATAATCACTTAATTTCTTTAAGATTTGTATAGAAATATATAAATAATTTAGATCTAATTATAGTCAGATCGGATATATGTACATTCAAATTTGAATCTGTAAAATATAAGATATCGAATTTGAATTATCGATAAAAAAAATATCAATCTATATCCGACTAATCAAATTTGTATTTGAATCAAAATCTCATCTACCGACAAGCCTAGTTCACCTACTTGAAGAACTACGTTTGTCTATTGTAATAGAGGCTCTAACTCCTTGACTGTTTATTACTTGAGAAGGAAGAATGAGGTTAAACTTGGTATATTGTTTTGCATATGCTAAGGCAAGGTGATGGTCCGCCCATTTATTTACAAAGGTAGTGATAGGACTTTAGGCAGCTCAGTAGCCCCCAGACCAACACGTGTAAAGATATAGCCGTTATAAAGTTCAAAAGATGCCGAGGAGTGGAGCCGAGGAAGAGTGGCTCAGAGGAGTGCGTATACTGACACTCGCATTTAATACGACTTGATTTATGATGATATAAGTGACTAAGACAGGGTTATTAATGAGCCTTTGCTTATTCAAGACCTAAGCCTGCAATCATGATGATTAGACATTAATGACTAGTACGCCGAGTATACCTCTTCGGCGTAACCCCAAAGTATTATTCCCTCGAGCATTGAACATTCAAGAGGAGGTGACAGGTGCCGATTAGAGGAGCTTGAGTGTCCAGGGATAGCCATAAGTGATCGGCATGGCCCCGAGCACTTGTCCTATCATCCTAGCATTAAATGTCAGGTATTAAATGTCAGGTATAGGTAAGAGTGTCAGGTATTAAATGTTCAGATGGGACTTAAGACATTTGCACTCATTACTAATCCTGGTATAAATATATCTCAGAAAAATAAACAAAGGTACACAAGACTAAACTGAAATAAAACATACACTGTGCTCAAGCCTCCAAACTTGCACTGACTTAAGCTTTAGAGGGGATAAGCCGGATGTTCACCCGGCCCCTTTTCTAACCCTGTGGTTGTTTCAGGTTCACCATACAAAAGATCGCTATCTTAATCTGTTGCAGGAAATCTCCCATGCAATTTAATGCCGTCTATGGGAAAGGCTACAAACTTTTTCCCGCAGCGGTCACACCATGGTGAACATACGATCCCAAGCTGATGGGGGAAGGAGTTTACACGTGAGAAACGCGGAGGCTGCCCGACTCCCAATGTTCACGGAATTTGGCCCTTTGGGCTAGTCAGATGGAGGCTGGCATGCCTCGCAATAAACATTCCCTATGGACCAAGACCTTGGGGGCAGGGTCTTTTGGCTCGCGATATCATCGAGTTGGTGGAGAAATGAATGGGAAAGCGTATCAAGCAACTTGAGAAGGATAACGCCAAGGTACGACGTCGGCTTGATAGCTTTGAGCGGTCAAGGAATGCTAGCTGGCAAAGCGGTAGTCGTAAGGATTAAGGTCCCAGTCAACGTGACTCCAAGGGCGTAAGGCTAGGGGCCCCCGGAGGAGCTTGCGCAGGTGCCCGACTGAGAGGCGTAACCCAAAAAGCTGGGAAAAACCTGCACCTGAGGAAGGATCGGAATGGGATCACAAAGCAGGCATGTCCCAGTGGGATCTTTGCCATAGGCTATCAGGAGGTGCTGAGGCAACTGAGTCCCAGGGCGGAGTCAACTGCGAGGAGGCCTAGAGAGGGAAGATCCCAAGGTGACCCCCGAGCGCGCCTCGATGACAGGCACCAGAGATTGGAACTCGAGGGAGATGGAGATGACGATGAGGAAATCATTTGCCCATTTGTGCGGGCAATCCAGGAGACGAAAATGACAAAAAAGTTCACCGTCCCTCAATTCAAGGTTTACGATGGAAGGACAGATCTTGATAGTCACCTGCGGCAATATAAGCAGTTGATGTCCATTTATGACACTGATCAGATGGTGCCGTGCCGAGTTTTTTCCTTGAGCTTGGAGGACACTGTCGTGAACTGGTACGAGAACTTAGCCCCTCCGAGTATAATATCCTAGAGGCAGATGACCGAGCACTTCGTTGCTCGATTCATCACCAGCAGTATAAGGCCGAAAGACATCGGCGTTTTACTGATGCTCAAACGAAGGGGTGGGGATTCTCTCCGACAGTTCATAATTCGATTATAGGAAGAGGTTAACGAGGTTGAGTAATGCTCAAAGGCAATGGCCACAACGTCATTTTGACTGGGATTGTCCCGAGACACCGACCTCTATAGATCTCTCACCAAGAAAGCTCCAAGAGACATGAATAAACAAATACGCTAGGGTGGAGGAATAATCCATCGTACTCGAGAGCAGGGCCCCAGTGCCAAGGAGAAGGGAGAAAGAGCAGCCCGCAAGGAGAGGGGTACCCACCCCGCCTCTGAATTGCTTTTCCTTCCAAGAGGTTAATACGGTCTTCAAGTAGCCTATTTATAAAATGCTACATAAAATAAAGGATAAGCCTTTCTTAAAATGGACCCCCAAGATGTAAGGGATCCCATCAATGAGGGACTCAACATCCCGGTGTTCTTATCATAAGGATGTGGGTCATTTGACAGAAGACTGCAGGGTGTATAAGTCCTTCATCGAGCAACTGGTCCAAGAAGGGCATCTAGAAGAGTTCATTGATAGAAAAACTCTCGAGGGCCCGACAAGGAGAGAGGCTAAGGCGTCTCATGAATCAGCACTAGTGATTGACATTATACACATTTGCACCATAGAAAAACCAGTGTATAACTCTCTTCGAGTTGAGTTGTATAGGGTTTCACAAGCAATAAAGGTGGAGGAAAGCATGTGTGAAGGTCAATCATCCAAGAAGCCCCGACATGACACCGAGGTCATTCATTTTTTTGATGCCGACCTAGGCGGTTGGTACCCCCACATGAAGACACATTGGTGATCACTCTGCGGGTTGACAAGTATGATGTTAAAAGGATTTTGGTGGACTCGGACAGCTCGTTCAAGGTTATGTATGATGACCTCTTTCACAAAATGAGGTTCTCACAGAGAGACTTGGAACCTGTAAGGACCCCCTTATAGGCTTCAACGGTTTTAACGCCCTCCCCCTCTGAAAAATCTCTTTTATGGTGCGTGCCGGGATCGTCACTGTGCCAGTTGAATTTGTAGTGATAGACTCTAATTCCCTATACAATGTCATTATGGGCAAGACATGGCTGCATGCGATGAGGGCGATCCACTCGTCCTATTATCAGAAGGTCAAGTTCCCCACTCCAAGGTGTATAATGGAGATCCAGGGTGATTAGGCATCGTCGAAGAGCTATTCCTACGTCACGGTAAAAACTGGAGTCAGTAGCCGAGGTCAAGAACGTGATCCCGAAGTGGTGGTTGCCAAATAGCAATCATAGTTCGGTCAGTCTAGGGTGGATGAACCCATTACGGAACCAGCTGACCGTTCCACTAAAGCCCTAGTCAAAGTTTTTCTAAGCCCTGACAATGAGGAGAGGTACTCTTTTGATAGGGGCATCATTGGATGATGCTGAGAAGTCTGACATAACTTTGTTCCTACGCCAAAATGTCGACGTTTATGCGTGGACACAAGCCGAGCTGACAAGAATAAGTGCCGATGTGATGACTCATCGGCTCCATGTTGATCCATCCTTCAAACCCGCGAGGCAGAAGGCTCGAAGAACGGCACCTCATCATACGAAGGCCATAAATGAAATGTGGACAAGTTGTTGGGGGTAGGCTCCATCAGAGAAGTGCAGTTCCCCCAGTGATTATCCAACACGATGTGTGCCAAGAAAAAGGAAGGGAAATGGCGAGTTTGAGTGGATTGCACAAACTTGAACAAGGCATACCCTAGGGCGAGTATCCACCGCCAAAGGTTGATCAACTGGTAGATGCAATCGCAGGCCACAAACGTATCACCTTCATGGATGCTCGGGCGGGTTATCACCAAATCCCTTTTCATGAATCAGATCAAGAGAAAACGGCGTTCATTACGCCCTGAGGGATCTATTGCTACA